AGTAGCCTACGGGTTTAGCAAGCAAATAATGAAAGTCTGTGATAGAGTCTTCCTTTGTTTAGACAATAGTAGCTTTCGAGTTGGCTTAACATAGACATTTTAAATCTATAATTTTTAGGTCTAGCGCATTGAGTATCGTCCATTAACAATAATTTGTACTCGTAAAAATTACCATATAATATCAACAAGCTTGTTACAAGCTGCTGAAACAACTTGTACAATACTGTTATATCATGAATGTATCAGACTTGTTGGAACAATCTTGTTACAAGTCTGATAATATCAACAAGTTTGTTACAAGCTGTTTACTCAACTTGTACAATATTGCTATATCATGACTGTATCGGACATGTTGGAACTCTCTTGCTACAAGTCTGATAATATCAACAAGCTTGTTACAAGCTGTTTAATCAACTTGTACAATGTTGTTATTTCAAGACTGTATCGGACATGTTGGAACTATCTTCCTGCAAGACTAGTACTGATAGTATCAACGAGGTTGTTACAAGCTGTTTCAACAACTTGTACAATATTGTTGTATCATGACTGTATCAGACTTGTTGGAACAACTTTGCTACAAGTCTGATAATATCAACAAGCTTGTTACAAGCTGTTTCAACAACTTGTACAATATTGTTATATCATGACTGTATGAGACTTGTTGGAACAACCTTGCTACAAGTCTGATAATATCAACAAGCTTGTTACAAGCTGTTTAAATTACTTGCACAATACTGTTATATCATGAATGTATGAGACTTGTTGGAACAATCTTGCTACAAGTCTGATAATATCAAGAAGCTTGTTACAAGCTGCTTAATCAACTTGTACAATATTGTTTTATCATGACTGTATGAGACTTGTTGGAACAATCTTGCTACAAGTCTGATAATATCAACAAGCTTGTTACAAGCTGTTTAAACAACCTGTACAATATTGTTATATCATGACTGTATCAGACTTGTTGGAACAATCTTGCTACAAGTCTGATAATATCAACAAGCTTGTTACAAGCTGTTTAAACAACTTGTACAATATTGTTATATCATGACTGTATCAGACTTGTTGGAACAACCTTGCTACAAGTCTGATAATATCAACAAGCTTGTTACAAGCTGTTTAATCACCTGGTACAATATTGTTATATCATGACTGTATCGGACTTGTTGGAACAATTTTCCTACAAGTCTGATAATATCAACAAGCTTGTTACAGGCCGTTTAAACAACTTGTACAATATTGTTATATCATGACTGTATTGGACTTGTCGGAACTATCTTGCTACAAGTCTGATAATATCAACAAGCTTGTTACAAGCTGTTTAATCAACTTGTACAATATTGTCATATCATCACTGTATCGGATTTGTTGGAACAATCTTGCAACAAGTCTGATAATATCAACAAGCTTGTTACAAGCTGTTTAACCAACTTGTGCTATATTGTTACATCATGAACGTATCAGACTTGTTGGAACAATCTTGCTACAAGTCTGATAATATCAACAAGCTTGTTACAAGCTGTTTAACCAACTTGTTCAATATTGTTATATCATGACTGTATCGCACATGTTGGAACAGTCCTCCTGCAAGATTGATAGTATCAACAAGGTTGTTACAAGCTGTTTAAACAACTTGTACAATATTGTTATATCATGACTGTACCGGATTTGTTGGAACTATTTTGCTACCTGTCTGATAATATCAACAAGCTTGTTACAAGCTGTTTAATTAATCAACTTGTTCAATATTGTTATATCACGATTGTATCAGACTTGTTGGAACAACCTTGCTACAAGTGTGATAATATCAACAAGCTTGTTACAAGCTGTTTAAACAACTTGTACAATATTGTTATATCATGACTGCATGAGACTTGTTGGAACAACCTTCCTACAAGTCTGATAATATCAACAAGCTTGTTACAAGCTGTTTAATCAACTTGTTCAATATTGTTATATCATGACTGTATCGCACATGTTGGAACAATCTTCCTGCAAGACTGATAGTATCAACAAGGTTGTTACAAGCTGTTTAAACAACTTGTACAATATTGTTATATCATGACTGTGCCGGACTTGTTGGAACTATTTTGCTACCAGTCTGATAATATCAACAAGCTTGTTACAAGCTGTTTAATTAATCAACTTGTACAATATTGTTATATCATGACTGTAGCAGACTTGTTAGAACAACCTTGCTACAAGTGTGATAATATCAACAAGCTTGTTACAAGCTGTTTAAACAACTTGTACAATATTGTTATATCATGACTGTATGAGACTTGTTGGAACAACCTTGCTACAAGTCTGATAATATCAACAAGCTTGTTACAAGCTGTTAAAATTGCTTGTACAATACTGTTATACCATGAACATGTATCAGACTTGTTGGAACAATATGGTAATTTTTACGAGTACAAATTATTGTTAATGGACGATACTCAATGCGCTAGACCTAAAAATTATAGATTTAAAATGTCTATGTTAAGCCAACTCGAAAGCTACTATTATCTAAACAAAGGAAGACTCTATCACAGACTTTCATTATTTGCTTGCCAAACCCGTAGGCTACTGCACCCAGTATCGTTTATTAATTATTGTCCAAACCACTATGTTTGACCTATTCATAACTGTAACAATGAAACTATAGTTAAACATGGGCAGATATCCGAGTTAGCTTTATCTGCCTATATCATTCTTACTTGGATTGCGAGCTGTAAAGACTGATTTAAAGAGTCATTTAAAAAATTAATCGTTTCACGTTTATCATTTCTAAACGTTCACCAAAAATAATGCCAAGAGTTAGCAAACCACGATCACGAGTTCGTCAGCAGGATCAACGATTATCCAGTACTCAACCGTCCGTCGAAGTACCGAGCAATTTGGGCGAGTTATCAATTTTAGAGTTGAAGAACCTTTGCCGCGAACTCAACTTTTCCTGCGCTGGCGGCCGACGGGTACTTACAACGCGTCTACAAAACGAAAGAGAACGTCTAAGCACGAATACGCCGCAATTCAACATTCAAACCGTTCCAGTAAACAACACGTTATCTAATTCCAACGCAAGGGAAAGCTTCAGCGCCGACAAACTGGCACAGATTACGCAGATTGTTTCGCAGTCGATCTCGTCGTTCTTCGAAAGCCAACACGCCACAACAACCGCGACTCGTGTAGATGAGCAGCCAACTATCCCGCCACCGCCAACGTTACTCGAAAGGCTAGAACAGCTTGGTCAATTTCCATTTTTAAGTTCCAGCGAGCTCCAGCAGCAGCCGACTTCATCCCATGGACCTGTTGCCTTAATCCAGCAAGCAGATGGGGGATTCACGCCAGAGATTCCAAATAAATACGCATACATATCCATGAATATTACGATATGCAACGAACGGTAAAAATGTTTTAACCATGGGTAAATGCAAATACCGATTCGTCACCTGCAGTGCCAAAAGAAACATGATCTCATTATTAGGATATTCACCGACGGTATGCCGCGGTGATAGGATTCACAATCTGTCATCTGCAGTGTCAAAAGAATCATGAAGAGATGAAACATAATCTTATCTTAATTGACGAGTACAGGCTTACTATAACGCCTGGATATCACTTCATGACATGAGTTTGCTTCGTTTTTAAGAAACACGCTTTATATAAACGCACTGACATTTAAAACACCAGACCGTGCATTTAAATATGATATGTCTTCATGAGTTTGCTTCGTTTTTAAGAAACATGGTTTATATATACGCATTGATATTTAAAACACCAACCCGTGCATTTAAATATGATATGTTTTCATGAGTTTGCTTCGTTTTTAAGAAACACGCTTTATATAAACGCACTGACATTTAAAACACCAGATCGTGCATTTAAATATGATATGTCTTCATGAGTTTGCTTCGTTTTTAAGAAACATGGTTTATATATACGCATTGATATTTAAAACACCAACCCGTGCATTTAAATATGATATGTTTTCATGAGTTTGCTTCGTTTTTAAGAAACACGCTTTATATAAACCCATTGATATTTAAAACACCAGACCATGCATTTAAATATTATATGTCTACATGAGTTTGCTTCGTTTTTAAGAAACATGGTTTATATATACGCATTGATATTTAAAACACCGCAGTCCATGCATTTAAATATGATATGTCTTCATGAGTTTGCTTCGTTTTTAAGAAATACGCTTAGTTATATAAATACATTGATAAAAAAAAACATACATTTAAAACATTACTCCGTGAATTTAAATATATAGAATACGCATTGATATTTAAAACACCAGACCGTGCATTTAAATATGATATATGACTTCATGAGTTTGCTTCGTTTTTAAGAAACACGGTTTATATAAACGCATTGCATTGTATTCACAAAAGGTTAACTTAGATTTTGATATATAACATTTACATTTTCGTGCCATATTGACACAGCTATTGACGTTTCAAAGTTGAACTGACATTTCTGTAATGTTAAAAATTAGGTACGCGACGCGTACATGTATCTGCGAAAAAACTTGATTCACATTTTGTATTTTCTTGAAAGGAACTGAATAATGAAGGTGACATGGGACAATTGAAATATTTCATCACTTATTATAATAGCAGATAAGATTTAAAACAGGGCTGTACACAGCGGCGAGGGCAGCAGGGCAAGTGCTCCCCCCCCACCCCCGCACCGAGAAAATTTAACCAACTTTATAATGTGATTATGATATTGTAACAGATAATTGTGCAGTCAGGAAATAAAAATTTCATGCAAACAATATTCAAAGTGTCTATACAGCTGGCTATTTAGTAAACTGTCACCTATCAATTCAATCCATACTCATCAAATTTTCAAAACTTTATTGTAATCATATGAAGCAAAAGTTATGTCACTTGTTGTTTACACTTGCCAATGTTAACTGTTGAGTAACATACACAAAATATTTGGTGAACATGTCGAAGACCACTGAATAATTGCGAATGTTTTGAAGGTCATGAGTGAAGTATATAATTAAATTCCAGTTCTGTGCACGGTTAATGATATACCACACTGTTCGGTTTAACACGTACAGTACATTCACACAAAAACAATTGTGATGTGGGAGATTATCGGTTTGAGTAGAAGGTATCACAAGTTTAGTTTTGTACATTGTGTGCCATTGATCAAATCCACCATATAATATATGATTATTCATTGTAGCTGTTAAGTTATTTTCCATACTAATAAATTTAGGTAAGATTGTCTTGCAAGTTGGTTGTTGTGACAAAATTATCCAGCCAATATCCAGTACATTTATTCTTCATTCTTGTATTATTAAATCTCTAAAGAAAAATATTTATGTTAGAAAGCAAAATGACAATGTAATGAAGCTTGGGAGGGTGAGGATTCTTTTATTTGAAAGTGTTTGTAAAAATTTTGTTTAATTAACTCTAATGTGTAAAACCAAAATGTATAAGTATTTTAACTGATAACATCTTCAACCTTTGCTCTAACACTACATTTGATGACAGCTTTATAGTTGGACTATTGTTTTGAACAGAGTTTAATACGGAGTCAATATACAGAAATACAGGACCAGGATTTAATTCAATATCTCCTGAGAACTGTCCAATAGGTT